GGGGGGGGGGGGGGGTGGAAGAGAGAGAAAAGGCGGCAGTTTTTACAAAGGCAAAGCCGGAGACGAGCGAGGATCTTCCGCTTTCCACCTCGTTCCACACGTTTCCATGAATTTACACGCGGCAATCCTACGCTGTCCCACAGGGGGATTTGGCGACGCGCCGACTAGCGAAGAGACTCTCCAGGGCTTGCCAGTGCGGTCGCTCCCCTGCCCGGGAGAGTTTCAAAATGCCCGGCGGGCGGGCGCGTGGCTCATTTGCCGCTGCGCGAGACGAGCGTCCCAGGACCGATCCGAGGTTCGCGCTTACGGCATCCTCGAGGATGTTCGTCCAGCTCCTCAAGGATCAGGTTGCAAACCCCGGATAGACTCGAGAAGCGGCTGCACCGCCGAAGCGGAGATAGTTGCCGCCCGGCTTGGAAACGGCAACGGCACAGGAAGGGGCTGGATCAGCTCTCGGTCGGGGCTGTGCGTGGCTTCCATCGGCGGGCGAATCGGACGAGCAGATCCGGGGTGGAGCGGGGGGAGAAGGGGCAAGAGGAAGAAGGTGGCCCGCCGAAACTTGACCTGCGGGTGCGTGTGTTTAATTATGGGTTGATTTATTCCCCCGGAGAAGCTCAGTCTCCGAAGTACATTTCCACTGGAGGGTCTGATGGCAGCGTTCAACCGCGAGCCCGACCGGAGTGGGAACTTCCGCATCCTGGACTAAGTTCGGATTCTTTGAGTGCTGCAGCTAAAGTGACGGCCACGCGCCCGAAGTTACGGTTTAGAAAGGAGGAAGGGGCTAAAAGTCGGAGCCTTGCAACCAAACGCAGATTTTCCTGATTTCATTGGACGTTTATGTGGATCCAGCAGGGATCTAACCATCAGCCATGGAACAAAAATAGGGATCACATGATTTGTACACTGGGGCCGTACGAAGCCTCCGTGAAATTCAGATCCCATTTGTAACCATCAATAATCACAGAAGTGGTTGCTAATGGCTCTGGTCTACTAGAGAAATATGGGTAATAAAAGCGCTACCCAGCTACTCTTGGGACTGTAGTGAGTTGGCCCATCCTCTGTGCTTTGGATTGCTCCCCTCTAAAGAGGGAAGAGGGGCAGGAGCTTGGAGGCCTTAGAGGCTTGTAATTGTGGGGCAGAAGGGAGGGAGGGGTAGTAGTTCATTTTTCATTTCTTCAAGCAGAAGGCGAGAGAGAGAAGTTGGATCTGTTTCCAAGTGAGATATAACACAATTAGCTGGTTAATGTGGATTTCACCATCAGCCATGGGTTATAAATACAAAGCAGATTCTTCTTCTGCAGGGGCAGATATTACTGCTCCAGTGGCCCTGAAGCTTCCTTATGGGAACTCTGCCATTCAAAAGATAATCTTAAAGAAAGAATACAAGGATTGTATGCCCCTTAGTGTCTCATGAATGAAGTAGCAGAAAAGCACATTCAATCACTAAGAACCACTGGCCCTCCAACAAGGAAGGCAAAATATCAAAGTAGTAGCTAAAGATGTTCTCTGAGACTTCTGGACCTAGAGTGGAAACAGTGATATCTTGCAACTTAGTTCACTTCATAGAAGAAACATTGCCTGATTCTGTCTTCCTTTTCAAAAACATTTTCTCCCAGTATTTCATTCTTTCTTCTGCAGTCCATGCTCTGACAAGGACCATGTCATTTTGGGTGAAGTGTAATGTCTTGCCAGATACAATCAGATATGAAAAGGCCACAATCATTAGGACTTTCTTAGTTTGGTACGTTGCTTGGTGCAAAACAAACAAAAAAACTTCAAATAATATGGTTGTATTTTTATTTATTTATTTTATTAAATCCATTTATATAGCCTCCCATCTCACCACAGGCAACTTTGGGCAGTGTACAAGCCTAACCATCATTCTAACATTGATGGTCTTGGAGTACAAAGTCATTGAATCCATGTTTGAAATCAAGATATAAGATGGTCTTATTTTTAAAAATTGTAACTATCAATATCCACTGATCTCTGCTTTTATTTGTTTAAATAATTGGATCAGAACCCCACATTTCAAAGGGTAGTTCACTGTATAGACAGCCTTTCATACATGATGGCGGGTGTGAAAAGTGGCAATTTAGGGGAAAAACCTTTTCATCATGACAGAGTTATTTCCCCAAGATTTCACTGGAAGCTAGAAACTCATCAGTGAAGCAACCACTTAACCAAGTGGATCCTTTGGGTATGCTCTTATCATCCTGCACAGTGTTATTTGTAGCAAAATGATTATCCTATCTAGTCTTAGAAACTGGAGAGGTTCAGTCATATGGAGTTGGTGTGTACAAATATTCAGCTTACCTAGATGCCTCTCACTGCGTGGTGAAAGTACTGTTTTAGATGGAAAGGATTTTTTTTTCCTACACAGTTTGATGTTGAGGAGATTTTTGTTACTTTTTTCCGATGGTGTTCTCAGTTTCAAGAATTCTGGCTTTGTTACTTGAAATGGATGCAGTGCTGGATGTCCAGATATCTTTTCCTGCAATCCAAAACTTTCTTCTGATCAGTTCTTCTGCCTTGTGTTTCTTTTTAGTTGTATAAGTTGAGGTCTTGTTAGTATCAATTGACTGGTGTTTCTCATGGTTTTGATATCTGTTCTCTGGCCATAGAACCATGTCCTTTCAAGTTCCATAATTTCAGTTGGACGATGAGCAAGATGTGGAAAGATGATGATTTCTGGTGCTCATTGTAATTTTTGGAAGTGTGGATACATTCCTGTGACAACAACAACAATATATTAAACATGTATGCTGCCCAACTCAATAATTCTGGGTGGTTCACAACAATAAAATAGATTACTGTACAATAAAATCAATAAAAAATAAAGATAAGAGATGGCAAGCATGATGAAGTGAGGGATCCCACTCTCCTTGCCAAAAGCCTGGGTGAAAAGCCAGGTCTTCACAGCTCTTCTAAACAACAGCAGCGGGGGTGGGGTGGGGGGACATCCATATCTCGGGGGTGGGGAGCCTCATTCTAGAGGGCTCACACAAACTTTAGCTCAAGTAAAAACTTCACATAGTGTGCAAGGATGTTATCATTGCTTTCACAGAAACTTCTTTCTACTCATTCTTTCTAGAGCTGCATTTTTAGAAGTGCATACTTTAGAGGTATTTATAGGTATTCCACTTTTTTTTCATTAAATATGTTCAGGAAGTCTTAGAATCTGGGAACCAGCATTAAGCATTATTGTTTCTCAGTAAAATAATCAAAGAATGTTTTATTCTATTTTTCTATTTTCAAGTATTATTCTGCGATTTGGATTTGTAGTCCAGTTCTGAAGTAGAGTGAAGTTTTTCCAGCAGGAACTCTGAAAGAAGGCTGTAGTGTAAAGACATAGTTCAGTGATCAAATGCATGTTCTGCTTGCAAACCATTCTCAGTTCAAGGAGAAAATATAAGCCTCTTAAAAATGTAACACTTACATTTTACTACTTGGATGTCTTTTTTTTTTTAAGTGCAAAATTGTGCCACAGTAATTTGGTTATTTGTCCCTGGATTTCTCTAATGCGATGGGGAGAGCTCTGGAAATTAACAATTAACATGTCTTTATGATAATAATGTGTGAAAGTTGACACACAGTTGTAAACAGTGATTATGGTTTGCCACAGTCCTGCCTGAGTTTTATCCGGACCCTGCCCTGTGGCCAATGAGCAAGGAAGGTGTCACAGTCTCATCTGTTGGCACATGGCAGCGAGAAGGCTCAGAGAGTACATTATGAGGTACTAGAATCTGATTGGATATGCTTCCTACATCAGAACTTGCATCACTTAGTGTACCAGCAGACCATCAGTGAGATGAAGAGCACTGGAGCACCGAACACTGAATAAAAGCAAAGCTCAAAGCCACAGTGGCTTTCTCAGGTGGAAAAAGCTGAAATAACTTGGAGACGATTGGGCAATGGCTGCTGCTCGCAGATCAAGGCGTAGGACTCGGTTTCCAAGGAGAAAGAAGCAGACAAGAGGTAGGAAAAGAGCCCACCGGAAGCTGTTGCCAAAGTGCAGAAAGCAACGTAGAAAGAAAGGGAAGCAGGGACCCAAGGTGGTGAGAAAGCAAAATGGGCCCCAAAACCCAAATACAAAGCGGCCTTACGATGAGTTTGTTTCTAAAGTCTTGCGTCGGCTGCATCGGGACAGAATACCTATATCGACCAAAGCAAAGGGAAAGATGATCTCCTTCATAAGGAGGTTCTACAACAATGTGTCTGAGAAGGCCAAGTCCAGCAAGAAAGTCAGACAGAGCTGCACCATTGGCTCCAAGGAATTACAAAATGCGCTAAAGAGAGTGATGCGCAAGAAGCAAGCCATGGATTTGGTCCAAAGTGTACGGAAAGTGCCACGACGCCATTAGACCTGCTCCTCCCTATTTCCTTTGGTTGGCACTTGTGACATCTGCAAAAAGTAAGAGAAGGGGAGAGTGAGCCAGCCTTCGAAACAACCCCCCCAATCTAGCTTCCACCTGATGAAAAGTCCTGCGATACCCTAAAATACTGAGAATCTCTTCTGTTTTAAGGAACATCTCATGTAAGCACAGGAACCAACAACCTTCCATCCTTAAGAGCCTAACATGGAATCTGACCTGCAGAAAACTCTTCACATCGCTGGAAAGAAACTTTGGGAAAGAAACATCTTATTCTTGGGAGTATAATAAAATGGGGTTTTACCAGGTCATTGAATTCTCATATGGTTTTCTTTCTTTTTAAATTATGTCAGCTGTTGGGGTTGTTATAGTGTGAATTG